GAGAGATTGAAAGCATCTAGGCCTCTTGTTGGGTTTCGGTGATTAATGACAATACAAGATTACTATGACTAACGTGTGTTTTGCAGAGGCAATTAAGTTAGGTCATGGTAATGGAGATCGATTGGGCAATCATGGATGTCATGCCCCTACGATGAAAATCGTTTCGGTTTTCAAAGGATGGACGACAAGGTTAAGGATGACTAGTTCTAAGTGTCGATTGGAGTTGGAGAGACACTTAGAGTAGTTTAGGACTTTGTTTTTCCTTTGGCCGTACTATTAAGGGGGGTATGGACGGGTAGCTTGACCTAGGTGAGTCTAGTGAGTTAGGTGTGGTGCACACTTGCTAAGTCTAGCACTAGGTAGCTCCAACAAAGCCCTTAGATTCTTTGGAGCAAACTTCATTCATGTATGATCGAAGGTTGGAACTGAATGGAGGGTCAAATACTGACCGGACGCTGGCTCCGGTGCGACCGGACGCTGGCCGCAGGGTCCGGTCAGTTCATTTGACCAAGGAGATTATGTCTGGTGCGACCGAACGCTGAGTGGTAAAGCGACCGGACGCTGGGGACTAGCGTTCGATCGACTCCAGTAAGGTTCCAGGAAAGTGAATCTACGACCGGACGCGTCCAGTCAATTCTGACCGGACCCTGAAGATCCAGCGTCCGGTCGAGTACAGTAAACATTCAGTGAGGGAAAAATGGGACCGGACGCGTCCGGTCAGTGGTGACCGGACCCTGCCAACATCCGGTCAACACTTAAACACTGGTGTGCGGGTTGAACTGACCGGAGCGTCCGGTCAACATGACCAGAGCGTCCGGTCACCCCGCAGAGGCACATAACGGTTCGTTTTTCAGGCTGTCTTATAAATAGAAGCTCCACTCGTGTGTGTGAAGCTACTTTTGCTCATTTCAATAGCTGAAACACACTTTAGAGAGTGCCAAGAAGAGCAAGGTCCTAGTGAGGTGATTGAGATTTGAGAATCCCAAAGAGAGCCCTCATTAGTGAGATCAAGAGTAGCAAGGTGTGCATCCACCCTTCTCCGTAGGCTTGTCGTGGTCAAGTGAGAGTTTGTGCTTATTACTCTTGGTGATCGCCATCACCTAGAAGGCTTGGTGGTGATTGGAGAGCTTGGTGATCATCCGGAGAGCTTGTGGATGACACAACTCAAGTTGTGAGCGGTTGTGGGTGATTCACCGTGATGGAGTGTCGAAGAATCAACCCGTAGAGAGCACTTGATCCTTGCGCGGATCAAGGGAGAGCTACACCCTTACGCGGGTGCTCCAACGAGGACTAGTGGGGAGTGGCGACTCTCCGATACCTCGGCAAAACATCGCCGCGTTTCCTCTTCTCTCTTTACTTTGAGCATTTACTTTGAGCATTTCAATTCTTGTTATTTACATTCCTAGAATTGTCATGAACTTTTGTGCGTTAGATCAATAGAAACACTTCTCTAGGCACAATGGGTTAATTGGGCTAACCATAGGACTTGTTTAGTGCGAAAAAATTTAGAATTAGCCCAATTCATCTCCTCTTGGACATCTTGATCCTTTCAGTCATGACTGTGGAGCATACATTTGTCGTGTGGCTATAAATTTATTTTAACTGGTATATTATAGGATGGGGTAGATATACATTGAAAAAATTAGATAAAATATTGGACGCTTCATACCCTTTGTGAAATAATTTGTATACTTAGATATGGACCATTTGTTCATGAGTGACTTAATGTCAACCGCAGCATTGCATGACTCCTTTATGCTACTCCCTTCATTCTAAATTATAAGGCATTTTATTTTTTTATATATACCGGTTTTACTATATATACATAGGCCCTGTTTACTTGTCTTATAATCCGTACTTTTCAGGTTTTTTTTTTAGCAGTAACAGTGTTTTTCTCTCACAACAAATCAGCCAGAACAATATTTCAGCTTGTTTTTTCAGCGAAGCGAACGGGGCCATAGTGACCATTAGTTCCATATGTACGGTTCCATGCTACACAATTACTTTTGGGACGGATGATATAATTACATTACATTTGATTGGAATATAGAATGATAAACATGTTTTGATTAGGGAAAAGCCTTATAAAATAGTTTTTGATGTATTTTTTTCTAAACAGTCAATATCAACTTAGAGACGCTTTAAACAAAAATATTTTGATTTAAGTTTTGTATCCTAAATTTATATAGTGTAACTATTTGTTGGCCAAGATTTGTTAACTTTTGTATTTTTTTATATAAAATACATTTAACATTTTGGGAAGGAGGAGAATAATGTTTAGGTATCATTATTCATGTAAGAACTACTTACTCTCTTTGTCCAAAAAAACATGATGTTTTAGTTTTGTCCTAAGTGAAACTATCTAAAGTTTGATCAAATCAATACACTACAATATTAATGTTTGGGAGAATTATCTATTTGATACTGAAACAAATCAGTATTTCATTTTTTGGCACTCGAAAATTTAAACTTTCTTATCTGGCATCAAGTTGAAATTTTCTTTTGTAAATGGCACTGCCGTCCATTTTCATTGATCAATCTGTTAGTTGACTGATTTCACCATGTCAGTTTTTTTCTCTATGTCCGATGTACCCCTATGTTAGATACACAGAAGACTCCCATGCTGCTACGCCTCTACCTCCCTCCACGCCGCCCATGCAGCCGCCGCTGTCGTCGTAGTTGCTCCCATCGCCTCCCCTTCCTCTCTCCCTCACCCTCTCTCTCCCGAGATGGCGGCGCTGTGGCGGGCCTCGAACGCGATGGCCTCCATGCGCTGCGCGTGGCCGTGGGCCTTGACGTGGGGCGAGCCTGGCTCGGCATGGCGCGCCACCCATCCGCCCTCTCTCTCCCCCTCTCGGTGGTGCCGGCCAAGACTGTGCAATCCAGCTCGGCCTAGGCTGGCTATCCTCTGGCGAGGTGGTGGTGGCTGGCTGGTTCTGGCCCAAGAGACGGTGACCCCCTCCCTCTCCCTCTCCCTCCATCTCGATCTACTACTAGGCCGTGGCATGGCCGGTGCAGGGCTCCATCTCGATCTACTACCAGGCTATGGTGCGGCCGGTGCAGGGCAGGGTAGAGGCATGGCCTTGCAGGCCGGTCATCCTCATCTTGCGCCCTTCTTCCCCGGCTCTGTTGTGCCACTATGCGAGACTGCCCTGGCTCCATGGCTGGTGCGCGAGCAGGCCACCCCATGGGAGGCCGCCCCTGGCCTCTGCTCGACGAGCCGCATACCGTCTTTGGGGCTTGCTTGCTCGCAGGCTGCGCATCTCGTGATACTCGGGCGTGGACATCTCCACGGGCGCCATGGCCACGCAACTTGAGGCCTACGGTGTAGGCAGAGCGAAGAGCGAGCTCCGGAACTCCATCACCGGAGCTATGGCGCAGCGGTGGACGACGAGCAGCTACGGCCAACCTCACCACCGCCCGTACCTCACCACTTTCAGATTCATGGGTCTGCGTCTCTCGTGCTACTGGGTGAGAACTCCATAGACGCCACCATCTTCTTCGATTTCGCCGGCTCTCCTATGCGTGCGCCGTCAATTCTTCTTCGATTCCGGCTGGCTCATGTGGAGTGTCGTCGATTCGCTCATCCTCCGTGTGTTGCCTGGACATAGCCGTCGCCTGTGCTAGCTCCGGTTACCGACAAGGCCGTCCTAGCCCCTGCGCGTGAGATCGGCGGCGGCTCGGTAGCTCGCTTGCGCGCTTGCCTGGCAGCAGCATGGTGGCTTGCTCATGCACGCTCGCCGCCCATGGCGCGACTGCCTTCTTGTCCGGTGGCGGCGCAGCAGCACGTAGGCGAGCAGCTTCTTCTTGGTCTTCTCTGCTCTCTCTCTCTCGCTCGCTTCGAGCTCGCGCGAAGCTCCGCCGAGCAGCAGCAGAGCTCCGACCAGCCGCTGCCATTCCGATCCACGAGCGTCACCACAATCCCGGCCCAAGCTCGCCCCCTTGATCCACCTTGACCTAGAGCTCCGCCCCACCATGGTCGCGCGGGAGCTCTGCCCCGCCATGGCTGCGCAAGAGCTCCGGCGAGGCCCCTTCCCAACTGCAATTTCCACGGAGCTCACCTTCTCATCGGCGTCACCCGCCTCGACCTCACATCCACGCTCCTAGTCCTGGCGGCGGGCGTCATCGGAGCGACATTGTCTGTATCCATGTCCCTGCAGAACTCATGCTCGATGTTCGAAGGCCGATGGCCACACGCAGCTGTGGCAGTCGAGCGTGCAGGTGCCTCAGCTGCTGGGGAGCCTGCTGTTCCTGGTCGTCGGCAAGTGCGGAGGTGAGGCCAAGGAGGCAGGGCGCCGCGGACGGGAAGGAGAACCACCATTGGTACGAGCAGAGGAAGGGGATGACGAGTGGGGCCTACACGTCAGTGACTAGGATGAGGAAGTAGTCGAGGGCAATATCGCCCATACGAAAATTCTTGAACTTCCCTATTTGGCACCATGGGTTTCTGCTGCAAACAAGGATATTCATGTCTTTTTGCTAGTCACTCGACACCGTTACTGTCCTAAATGGACGGCAGTGCTATTTACGAAAGAAAATTTCAACTTGATGCCAAATAAAAAGTTCAAATTTTCGAGTGCCAAATACGAAACAGTGGTTTGTTTAAGTGCCAAATAGATAATTCTCTCTTAATGTTTATATTACTAAGTAAGCATTATTAGATTCATTATGCAATGTACAATAATACATATTTCGTGTCACAAATGTTAGCAATTTTCTCCATAGATTTGGTCAAAATCTATAAAAAAAACTCCACTAATTTAAAAAAAAATCCCAAAGAAAAGTCCTCAGCGGGCCGTTCCTTCGCCTTGCCCCCCGAAAGCCCAGCCATTCAAAATCGACCGAACCAAACATTGACCATGAAGCCCAAGCCCACGTGACAGCCCAACAGTTCCCACAGTTCTCAACTAAAAACCCTAGCCTAACAGTCCCCACAGTTCGTCCCGTCTCATCGCAACTGCGAAGCCCCAGTTCCCACGGTTTCCCCCACGACGCCGGCGATGGGCAAGCGGAAGCAGCGCGGCGGCGGCGACGGAGAACCCGCCGCGGAAGGCGACGCGGCCACCGGCGGTCCTGGCGGAGGACACAGCCCCTCCACTGTGTTCGTCTCCAACCTCCCCTACAGCTTCAAGTCCTCCGATGTAAGCACGAGCTGCCGAGTGCTCAATTGCTACCTCGCTCCGCGGTCGTAGCTCAGAATCAAGCGTTTTTTTTTGTTTTGCAGCTCGAGGCGGTGTTTAGCGAGGTCGGCCCAGTGCGGCGCTGCTTTATGGTCGCGGAGAAAGGTGAGCTGTAGGAATCCGGTTGCTGTTTAGTCGGGAGTTGTTTCATTGCTAATTCTACCTTTGTGGTTGCTTTACCGCAGGATCGGAGAAGAGCCGAGGCTTTGGGTTCGTGCAATTGTAAGTTGTCTCAGGAATCGCCTATGTTGGTATTATGGGATTACTTTATGCTTTTATCGAGGTGCAGTTTTGAGCGAATGATGTGAAGCTCCACTGAGCCGACTGTTTCTGAATGTTAACCATAAATTCGTCTATGTTACTGTCTCAAGTGGCTCATGAACCTGCACATCCTGTGGTTACTGTACATAGACTATACTGCTCCGTATACAAGAACTTAGAAGGGTTTTATTGTTAGCAAATTTGCTGAGTGCAGACCATAACTCAATATTCACTAGAGAGTAGACAGTAGAGGCTAGACCAGAATGATCAAATGATATAAACTAATCATATGAGTAACCGGAATGATCAAATGATATAAACTAATCATATTGGTACCTGTCCCAGTGTTTGTTATGATTGTTCATGTACAAGTGTGCTGCTGCTAATAATCTGGGCATAAAGTTTTCATTGACACTGTTAAGCGATGATTTGGTTAATGTAATGTGTTCCCGTATATGCCAGTGCAACTGTTCAAGATGCTGATCGAGCTATTCAACAAAAGAATGGATTTCCTGTTGCTGGTAGGAAAATCAGAGTTAAGCTAGCAATGAATCGTGCTCCACTGAAGGAACGTTTGCAAAAGAAGGAGAATAGTAAGGCTCCTCTCCTAGCAGTTTGTTGCTGCTGTGGCTCAGTAGATTGTGGATCTGACAGTCTTGTGTTTTATTTGCTTGTGAGCAGTGCAAGTGAAGGACTCTGATGCAAAAGATGAAGCAGACGAGACTTCTCCTGCTGAAAAGCACAAGGGAAAATCTCATAAAACAGATCCAGGTTGTAATGGAAATTACTTTTTTTGTTTTGTTTTGTTTTATGTTTATGCCATGGTTAGTATTTTCCAATACTGATGCAAATGTTATGTTGAACCAGAGCAACCACATTTGTTGTCAAAGGATGCTATGGTATCAAAGGAAGCTCCCATTGGCGACCCCGAAAAAGTGAAAAGTTCTGAAAAGCAAAGGTGTGTACTGCAATTACTTCAGAAGTCATCACCTAAATCTAACCTGTCATATGTTTTATGGGTCAAATTTGCCCCCACATCAGAGGGTCATTCTTAGTGATTCTTGGTTGCCATCTAACTACTTCATTTCATCTGTACCTTTGTTTGGATAAGCTGCAAGCAGTTAATTATAACTATACATGGAGGTTTTGGTAGCATTTATCGTCTTTATTATAGTTATTTAAGGATATTACCTTTTTTCCCCTTTGGGTTGATTGGCAATTCTGATATCCTTATATTATAAAGGGTTGCAAAGACGGTGATTTTTGGTGGCCTGCGAGACTCCACCATGGCAAGCGAGGTTTTCCGCCAAGCTCGAGAGATTGGTTCAGTTGTATCTGTAAACTATCCACTTCCCAAAGAGGAAATGGAATTCCATGGTATGCTCTTTTCATATTCACATACTTTGGATTCTAATTTCATATAAACTGTGCTTTTATATTGCTTATTTTCCTGGTGTAAGTTCTTTGAGTTAATTCTGCAGCAGTAATTTAGAGCAGTGATAATTACCATTATTAGTCTTTTGAGTGATGATGCTGATAACCTGGCAACGTCAAAGGGTTTATCTTAGGCTTGTACATGATTACAGGGTTATCTTTGAGCTGTGATGGTACTGCTTGTGTTTTGAGTTACTTTTTCATCATGTACCAAATTGCAATTTCCAAGGGGCTCTTTTGACCCACTACTTATGGTTATAATCTGTCTATGGCATCATGCCTGTTTTGACCTAAGGTCTTTGTAATTGTTATGCATGTGAGTACGGTTTATATTTGGTCCCTTTAAATTCCTAGTGTATGGACGATGCAAAAACATGATGTCTTCAGCGGTGTCAGTTTTCAATCCTGAGATTTCAGTTTCTGGCCTCATGCTGGTTTTCCCTGTAAAAAAATGCATAATGAATTTCTGCTCATTTATCACTTGACATAATTTTCCTTTTTTAATTTCTTAAGGGTTTCCTTGTTTCTTCTTTGTAGACTCTTTTGTCTTTGTCAAATTAGGATGCAGTGTATATGTCTCATGATTCATGAAGAGTACATCTGTTGCTTTATGCTTCAATAGGAAAAGTTGAAGAACTCTTGCACTATACATGACATGTCTCATTTAGCTTACTTGTTGTTTCAACAAGCATCTACTGTTGTTCACCTATTCTCATTTACTTCAATTACCATATGATTCTGTAAACACCTCTAACTTTAAATTATTACTGCCAATCCCCTGCAGGGCTTGCTCGAGATGGATGCACATCAGATACGGCAGCTGTACTCTTTGCAAGTGTCAAATCAGCTTGGGATTCTGTTGTCCAACTGCATCGTAAGGAAGTCAAGGGAGGTATTGTTTGGGCTCGTCAACTTGGTGGAGAGGTAACTTAATGGCTATGACTTTTCATTGTTTTTATCTGCATATGTTTGATGATTCATTCACCTTATTTCTGCTTCTAGTTTGCTTGTTTTATCCCTATTCTGCAACTAATAATTTTGTGAAAGCATCTTCTGTTCCTGCAATTATTAATTGTACGTGTTTCTGAGTTTATTTGTATTTGTTAAATGCCGTCTTAACATTTGCTCCTTAGTACTAAAGTGTGTGTTATTAAATAAAAATTATAATTGCTGTAACGAAAAATGGGTTCAGATCCCAAATTTTGTCTATGCCTCAGACATCTTGTCAAAACCTCATACAATCATATATTCCAGGTTTCCAGAATATAGGTTTTAAATAATTTAGACAGCTAAAATTTGCATGTCAGAGTCATTTAAGTACCAGCTCTTTATGTTGCTTAGTGTAGTAGAGTGTAACAGGTTAGAGTGAAAGAGGTAGTTATTGTTTTATGTTACTCAGTGTAATGCATGAGGTTTGATGATTGGAGTTGCTCTTGAATAGTTGATAATGATACTTCCATAGGATGTGGTAATAACCTAATCTCCTAAAGTCATCAAGTGTTAATGGACTAAAGGATAAAAGTATGCTTTGCCTCTCTTCAAATTAGGAAGATGCTTCCAAAATCAATTCAGTGGCTGCTGACTACTTGCAACCGTGCTAGTAGGAAACTAGGAATTGGCACAAGATTAACAGAAAGTTCTAGTTGTTTATTGATTTCTGTTTCCTTTTTTCTTTTGCTCATGAGATGGTGGTTGGCTATTTGTAGAATCACCGCTATCCTTTACTGATTTGGTTGCAAGTGCTTGAAACTTGTTTTGTTTCTATTTAGGGTTCAAAGATCAGAAAATGGAGAGCGATTGTCAGGAACCTGCCATTCAAGGTGCTTGGTTAAGTGGTCACTGTTCCAAGTCTTTTTTTTTTCTTTCTCTAGTGCAGATAAGCCAATTGTGTGCATGTCACTTGCAGATTACAGAGAAGGAGATCATGGATATGTTTAGTTCAGCAGGGTTTGTCTGGGATGTGTCAATTCCGCATAAGTCTGATGAGGGGTGTGTTACTGTTCCATTGAATCCTTTGTTCCTTAAGTGGGTTAATAAAAACTTGTAAGATATTATAGCTTGATTACATCTACTCTTTAACAGGATATCAAAAGGCTTTGCTTTTGTATCTTTCACACGGAAGCAAGATGCAGAAAATGTATGGTCAGTACTGTATTCAGTTGGAGTACACAAATCCATTTAAATTCCTAATGGGCCATGATTTGTTTTTTCTGAATCAGGCTATAAAAAATATTAATGGAAAAGTTGTTGCAAAGAGACCAGTGGCTGTTGATTGGGCTGTTCCCAAAAAAGTGTACACTGTTGCTGCAAAAGCTGATGCTAAGGATAATGGTAAATATAAAGTTTCCTTTATCAGCTATCTTTCCTTAAGTCATTCATTTATCCATTACACAAATTATGAGTTCTTACATAGCTAATGCAAGATTTATATTAAAGTGAATGATACTCCCTCCATCCTCAAAAGAATGCAATTCTAGCAGTGTTATGTTCTAGTATCTTACAACAACAACAACAACAACAACAACAAAGCCTTTAAGTCCCAAACAAGTTGGGGTAGGCTAGAGTTGAAACCCAGCAGAAGCAATCAAGGTTCAGGCACGTGAATAGTTGTTTTCCAAGCACTCCTATCTAAGGCTAAGTCTAAGTCTTTGGGGATGTTCCATCCTTTCAAGTCTCCTTTTATTACCTCTATCTAAGTCAACTTCGGTCTTCCTCTGCCTCTCTTCACGTTACTATCCTGGCTTAGGATTCCACTACGCACCGGTGCCTCTGGAGATCTCCGTTGGACATGTCCAAACGATCTCAACCGGTGTTGGACAAGCTTTTCTTCAATTGGTGCTACCCCTAATCTATCACGTATATCATCGTTCCGAACTCGATCCCTTCTTGTATGACCGCAAATCCAACGCAACATACGCATTTCCGCGACACTTATCTGTTGAACATGTCGCCTTTTCGTAGGCCAATATTCTGCACCATACAACATAGCATGTCTAATCGCCATCCTATAAAACTTACCTTTTAGCTTCTGTGGTACCCTTTTGTCACATAGGACACTAGATGCTTGACGCCACTTTATCCACCCTGCTTTGATTCTATAGCTAACATCTTCATCAATATCCCTGTCTCTCTGTAGCATTGATCCTAAATATCGAAAGGTATCCTTCCTAGGCACTACTTGACCTTCCAAACTAATATGCTCCTCCTCCCGAGTAGTAGTGCCGAAGTCACATCTCATATACTCAGTTTTAGTTCTACTGAGTCTAAAACCTTTAGACTCCAAAGTCTCCCGCCATAACTCCATTTTCTGATTCACTCTTGTCCGGCTTTCATCAACTAGCACTACATCGTCCGCGAAAAGCATACACCAAGGGATGTCCCCTTGTATGTCCCTTGTGACCTCATCCATCACTAAGGCAAACAGATAAGGGCTCAAAGCTGACCCTTGATGTAGTCCTATCATAATCGGGAAGTCATCCATGTCTCCTATCCTAATCACTAAGGCAAACAGTTTTAGTATCTTAAGTTTAACCGATTATAGATAAAAAAGTATCAACATTTATGATATGAAATAAATATCATTAGATTAAATACGAAATATATTTTCATAATAAATTGATTTTGGAGCGATAAATGTGAATATTATTCACTAGAAACTTGGTCAAACGTGAACCCCTTTAGTTGGCACACAACCCATAGTTGCTTTCTTTTAGGGACAGAGGTAGTACTGTAAATGGCTATTAGCCTTAGACATTTGACTGATATCATGTTGGCTATTTGATACTGGGTGTGGTTTATCAGGGAATAGGGTTATCTTCTGTTAATTTAAAATTATGTAGTCTTATTCCTGATTGTCTAAAGAAATGTTTGGTATAGGATCTTTTGTGTCATCCCAATTGTTATGTTTGCTCTGCATTTTTTCTTAGTTAATTTGTATCTCATGAGTATATTGCGTTTCCACTTTCCAGAGCCTGAGAGTATACCTGACAATGTCAGTGATGATGACACCTCTGACGATAATCTTGTTGGAGAAGCTAGCTCTGAACTTGATCAGGAGACTTCTAATCGTCCATTTGAGGATGATTTCGAAACTGAAGCAGATATTTCTAGAAAAGTTCTTGAGAATTTGATCAAGTCATCAGAGAAGTCTGAACCATCTGGCATTGAAGGTTCGGACATTTATACCGACACTGAAACAGAAGATGTCGCATCAGAAAAGGAGAAATCTGATTCACCTGTAGATGGCAAGTTGGCTAAGTCGAAGCGGGTAACAGATGCAGAAATCAGTAATCCTGCTTCCAAACCCAAGAAAAATGATACTGGCCTGGATAGGACTATATTCATTAGCAACCTTTCTTTTGATATAAGTAATGAGGAGGTAACAGCACGCTTCTCAGTCTTTGGGAAGGTTGAATCTTTCTTCCCGGTTCTTCATAAACTTACTAAGTATGTTTGCTCATCTTGTTTCACTTTCATACATCTTTTTCCTAAGTTGTAGTGACCAGCGAAAGTTTACTTGTCACTCTCGTTGATGCCAACAGTTTTGTACTGTCTATGCAGGAGACCTAGAGGTACTGGTTTCATGAAGTTTTCTACAACAGAGGCAGCTGATGCAGCAGTTTCTGCTGCCAATGTTGCTCCTGGCTTAGGAATTTCTTTAAAGAGCAGGCCACTTAATGTCATGAAAGCGATGGACAAGGAGTCAGCTCACAAAAAGGCACTTGAGAAGGCAAAGACTGAGGTCGAGGATCGACGAAACCTATACTTGGCTAAGGCAAATTCTCTGGCACTTGTTTTTGCTTGTGAACTGTAGTAAGCCTTTCATTATTATGTTCCTTAAAGTTTGGTCTTGAAGCAGGAGGGTGAAATATTTGCTGGAACACCAGCTGCAGAAGGTGTGTCAGATGCTGACATGAATAAACGTAATTGGTAAGAAGAAATAGCATTCTTCATCATTTCATACTCTAGCTAATATCAGTGTTGGTACTATGTTTATGATGTGTTCCGTACCTATTCTTTCTATTTTACTTTTAGACAAAAGACTCCTATTCTTTCTAATTTACTTTTAGAACAAAAGACTCAGTGATTTTATGTAAATTAACATAATTGGTTCCCAGACCATCCGCCAATATGCTTTTATCATTTCAAATGAATGATTTTCAGATCGATGAATGCTTCTGTATATCAGTCACGCTTGGAATTTAATTATAGCCGTATGTTCATGCTTGAAATGCATCAAAACTGTTATATTTGCAACTATTGCTGCTGACATCATTTGGGCTCACAGCTGTTCGGCTGATGGTTTCTGCGGCTGATAAGCCGACTGATGCTGTTTTGTTGTGAGAGAAAAACATTGTACCATGACTGATAAGTTCAAGCGAACATTGATGATCTGACAGTATCTTTTTTATTTGTCTGTTTTAGGTTAGCTAGAAGGAAAGCGGAGATGCTTCAGTCTCCAAAATTTCATGTGTCGAGAACAAGGCTTATCATCTACAATTTGCCTAAGACTATGACCATTAATGATGTAAAGAAGCTTTGCAAAGAAGCAGTCATTTCTCGTGCTACCAAACAAAATCCTGTCATCCGGAAGGTTTCATGGAGTCCCTTTTATTTCATTTCTTGTATGCCATTTGTTTTGTGTGTTTTGTAATGCCTATGGCGATAAATTTGTTGAACAGGTGAATATCCTGAAGAATGAAAAGAAAGGCATACAGAAGCATTCACGCGGTGTAGCCTTTGTTGATTTTCAAGAACATGAACACGCTCTTGTTGCTCTAAGGGTTCTAAACAACAACCCAGGTATGCTCCACTCATGAATAGTTTCTGCTGTCATATTGTGCCAAATGCTCTGTGCCCTGTTGCAACTTTTGGTCTCTTTCAGTGAATTGGTTTGCCTACTGAGTAATCCTTTTATTGCCACGGTTCTTAAGTGGTATATTCAGTATACTTCACATTAGTGTCACATTTCAATGTATTTACACTACATCACTGCGTCTGTCTTGTCATACTCTATCTACCTTGGTCTGTTCTACGAACAAACATATTGGCTGTTTGTTTGCTTGAGGCCATCTCCGACATGGTTGTGAACAGACTCAGTCCCAGTTATATGATTTATTTTGTTTTTGCTCTTTGCAGAAACTTTTGGTTCAGAACGTCGTCCAATTGTAGAGTTCGCACTTGAGGATGTTGAAAAGGTGAGGCTTCAAAAGATTCGAATGGAACGGCATCGCAAGTCAGCAGCAGAAACTGCAGAAGTTCAGGGGACCCCTTCAGGGGATCAACCTGCAAGTGAAGGCCGTAATGCAGATAACAGCAGGACTTCCAGAAAAGGAAACAAGCGGAAATCACACAATAGACCATCTAAACCATCAGATTCGGTTGAAGGGCCGCCCAAGGATCCTCTAGTTCCTGTAGATCGAAGCGCGAGACCTGCAAAGAGAGCAAGGAAGTCAAATGTGGGGACCGTTTTGCCGGACCCAGGTCTAACAGATGCAACCCCAAACACTGCTCAAAATGTAGGTTTTTTGTATTGGTACCTGATGATACTTCTTAATAATTTCTCCAGTTTTACTGCAGTGAATTGATGTTAAATGGTTACCTGTTTTGTTTGATGCAGCAAGTTGTGTCAAATGAGCGTGATCAGGCAGCTGCTCCAAAGAAAAGGAAAAACAGAAAAGACAGCCAGGCGGAGCAAAAGAGAGGAAAGGCTACGAAAAGGACAAGGAAAGAACCTGCCGGGGAAGGAGGCGTGGATAAGTCGCTGGTGGAGCAGTACCGTTCCAAGTTCTTGCAACATGGTGTTAGCAAGACCAAAGCATAGTTGAGTTCGGAACTGTGGGATTGCCGCGGGAGAGCAGCACGGTGACTTGTACCACCAGTCTCCACAAACTTTTTTGAGGCTAAAATTTTGATTGTGATGTTATTGTACTTTCATGTCCATCTGTACCTTGGATATACTGGCTGATATTTATCGAGGAATTTGGTTATAGCCGTATGTATCGTCTTATCATTAGTAATACTGTGGGTAAGACGTCGGATCGTCTGGACGCCCACGTTGGTGGGCCTCGTCCGCCTGAACGATCCAACACTATCGCTTGTGTTGGTAAAATAATAATAACAACAATAGTAGTAGTAATAATAATAATAATAATAATAATAAATCTTCGCTCATTTTCTTCTTGAATCGTCGCCGTTATCGCGCCCATTCTTGAATCACCACCGTGCCTGCACTCTACCTCGCTGTTGCCGCCTTTCCCCGCTTGCTCCCTCCTACGACGCATGCATCCGCCCGTGACACTTGGCTCCCCATTCTTGGCCGTGCTCCATTCTGCGTTGCATCGCACGCCTCATCTCCTCCCCCCATACACACTACCGCATCCGTCCACCACCCTTTCGCAGCCCGGACGGCTGGCTCCGATGGGGTCCGTGATGTCGGGGGTGGCCTGGGAGACGGCGCTCCTCACGGGACCCCTCTGGGTGGCAGCCCTCCTCGGCCCCTGCTCGGTTGGGCCTCGCTGTTTCCACTCCAGCGCCTTCGTCAGGGCGGCCTCCATCCGTTCCCTGTCCTTTTTGCTGATCTACCACAGTTCACCACCAGGTAGGCCGTGGCCGCGCGACGAACGCTGTGTTTGTTTCAGACATTTTAGACCTTTGTTTCAAGTGTCTTATCTGGATGTTGCAAAAAGTAGATCTAGAATGTTGCATATGTTGCAATGACAAAATATGCATGTTGCAAGGCTATGTTTTAAGTGTTATAGGTGTTTCAGACATACGTTGCAAATGTTTCAAAAGTAAATCTTGGCGTTGCACATGTTGCAATTGTTATAAACGCATGTTTCAAGTGTTTCATCTATTTTAGACGTATGTTGCAAATGTTTCATCTGGATGTTGCAAAAGTAGATCTATTTTTGCATATGTTGTTAAGGCTATACACGCATGTTTCAAACGCATGCAAGTGTTTCATTTATTTTAGACGTGCGTTGCAAGTGTTTTATTTGGACAGTAGATCTCTGGAAAACACATGTTGCAATGGCGGTGGTGGCTGGCAGACAACGGCTAGCTGCAGTTGCCTGCTGCTGCTAGTCCCCCCGCCGTGGGTCACCGTGCCGCCTACTTGTGCTGCTACTGCTGCGTACACGCGGGCGCAGGAAACAAAGCGGGTTCGGAGTGGTCCCTGCACATGCGTGGGCATGGGCGAGCGTGTTGGGTGCGTTAGGCCCAGACGTGGGAGTTCTAAAGATATGGCCTCCGGAGCAGGATTGGTGCAGGACGAGAGATCTATGTGTATGCGCGGAAGCACCGTCCGACGCTAGCGCTCTGGATTGGACATCCGCGCCGCGCTAGCAAGTGCCTTGCATAATACACCGGTCGTGATTCTGCCTGCGACTGAATTCCTGTGGATGTACTTCAAACGGAAAACTTTGCAGGAAATGAGGTGACTTCGAGTGGATCATGTTTGCTTATAACGTGTCACAATCTTTTCGTGACTGATTGCGTGTGGTATTGTAGAGGTGGCATGGTTTTATTGATGGACGTTCTCCTCGCTCAAACGTGCTGCCCACAGCTGCATGGGTTGGTTTTTCTGCAGGGTATGGTGTTTGCCACGTCAGGTCATTATGTACAAAGGTCTGCATGTTTCTTGTGCGGGTATGGTGTTTGCCACGTCAGAACATTATATTTTATGTAAAAAGGTCGTTTTTTGGTCTCTTGCCCAAACCTATACCATATTACAGTGTTGTTACGTTTCTCGCAAAAAGGAAAAGGGTTATGTACATGTTGGATGGCAACATTATTCAGGCACCGAGTCTGCCAAGTCCAACTAAGAATTTAGAGAATTTTGTATTTAGCCCTAAAAATAATGCTTCTTTCTTATTTGACACCGAAACTAAAAATCTTTCTTATATGTCCCTAACTTGAGTTTTTGTTAGCTACTTGACACTTCCGTCAGATCTGTGAGGAAACATCGTCAGTTGTCCAACTGAGGCAACGCAAAAAGACCATAATGCTCTGTCACTAAAGAAAAGAAAATGAAGTCCGCCGCGGCAGTTCGTAACTTGGTCGACTCGTCTCGAGTCATGGTCGTACAGGCCGTTTCCCTCCCCTAACCCTAGATCAAGGGCGGCGCAACCATGGAGGCGGAGGGCGGCGCGACTTCTGGGGAGGGTGGCGCGGCTTCGGCTGATGGCGTCGCGGCCACGGAGGCACCGCGGGCGGCCACGACGGAGGTCCGCGCGGCCAAGCAGGCGGCCCGCGCGGCGATGGCAGAGGTCGACGCGACCACGACGGACGTCCGTGCGGCCAAGCAGGCGACGCGCGCGGCCAAGCAGCCTTCCCGCGCGGCCATGGAGGTGGAGGACGGAGCGGCCATGGCGGGGGGCAGAGCGGCTAAAAGCGCGCTGGTGGCGCGGGCTCGGGCGGAACAGCGGCCAAGCACGCGCCTCATGGCAGCTGCAAGCAAGCACCCCGTGCGGCGTTGGTGGCAGGCCGCGCGATCTCGTTGCCGCGCGGCGCGGCCTCGGAGGAGGACGACGTGGCCACGGAAGCGCCACTCGCGGCCATGGAGACGGGCGTCGCGGCCACAGTGGAAGGCGGCACATCCAGGACACAGCACCAACTCCCTGTAGGGTGAGTTTATTATCTCTATGTCTACGGACTGCCTATTCTCCATGTTTGGCTTCTGTTTTTTTACGCGAGGTCTGAAGATGTTTCACATGTCACATTCCTATGGTTGGACTCCTTATCAATGCTTCCACCACTGGTTCTTTTAGGTTGACTGAAGAGTTGAACAACAGATAGATATGGTACAAAATACGTTGTAAACTGACAATGACTATTCCACAAGCCTTTTGACCTCCGAAGATCTTGTGCCTTTACATCCAAACCATAGCAGCTAGGCTCTTCGTACCACTGCCAGACAGTTCTTAGAGTGATATCTGGAGTCTGAAGTAAACATAAGCTGATAGCCTCTTTCATCTTGCTGTAATCGGTCTCAGTTGCATTATCTGCTTGGAATTTCAAATCAACATGTTCAGATGAGTTCAGTTTATAAGTCCTTTCACTAGGTAAGTTGCTGTCCTCACCATTAGCTGAGACATCCAAATAGATCCCATTGCAAGTTTCCTTCTTATCAACAGGAATCCACTTCTGTGACAAGTGTCCAGCACCAGAATACCACTTACAGCATTCTTGAGAATTATTCTCTGTTAGTAACTTCACACATCGAGCTTCCTTTGTTTCTGCAACAAAAGGATCAGTGCACAGGTTCTTGGAGCTCCGACTGGTGGATACACCCTTGTTTCTGCAACAAAAGGATCAGTGCATAGTAGTTTTTCGATGACTGAGAACCTTGTTTCGAAGAAGAGCTTCTTTGCTGGCGTAGAAAGGGTGCCTGCTTCTTGTAGACAGGTCCAGAAAATGTATGGCAGGAGTTCAATGCATCTTCTTCTTTGGTAGGCTCCAGTTCAACTGTCCCATTTGAGGAATCCTGTTTGCACATTTTCCTATTCTGATTACATTTTGCCCGAATTCTTGTTGGATCTTCCTGTACACCCTTCTTACCAACTTCATGTGCACCCTTATCATGAATAGATGAATTGCTCAAATGTCCTGCTTTAGATATCATCTTGTCATTTCTTTCTACCTTCTGCCACACTGCTGAACTATCTTTTCCATTGTTCCTGTGCCTATTGGAACCTCTCACTCTGTTAGACACAGTCAAATCAATGTAGTTTGGTGTTTTACTTGATTTTATGTTCCTCCTCCCTGAACTAAATTGAAGAGAGGCCTTGCTGCTGCATGCCTGACTGCTGCACTGAACCCTTTCAGTATTGCTACAACTATCAGTAACATCCTTAGAGTATGGAGATCTCTAGAGTATGATCTGATTCCTAGATGATCATTTGTATCTTCAGCATGAGTAGCACTAAGATCTCTAGACTATGTGACCAACAACTTGGCAGAGAGCTTCAACAATTGGATTAAGCAGTACAAGTCCATGAATTTGGATGATTTGATGGATAAGATCAGACAATTAATTATGATCAAGTGGAACCAAAGAAGAAAAATTGGAAAGAAATTAGATGGCTTCATTCTTCCCCACATAATTAAGAAGCTAAATGAACAGAGTAGAGAATTGAACTTGGATGTATTAGAATGCTCAGAAGAGGTGGCTGAAATTACCTTATTTGGTGGCAGCGGCTTTAGGTTTATGGTGAACTTGGTTGATTGAACATGTTCTTGCAGACAATGGCAAGTCTCTGGCATTCCTTGCAAACATGCCCTTGCATTCATTACAGCACTACCTAATGCACCTATTGACAAATATGTTGACTTCTATTACTCCATTGAGAAATTTAGAGGAGCCTATAGTGCATTAATTCCTGCTATTCTTGACAAGACACAGTGGCCTAAATCTACCCATGGCTTCTTCATATATGGACCACTACTAATGTCTATAGCTGGTAGGCATAAAACCGAGAGACACAAAGGCCGTAGTGACAAGAAAGGTAAAAAATGGCAGCACCAATGTCCTATCTGTAAGGAATATGGACATCACTGGCACAACTGCAGGAAGGGCAGCAAAGAAGATATTGAAGCAATGAAAACTCTTAGGTACATTTCATCTTCTATGCATATTTTTTTAATTAGATCATATTCTTTACTATCTGTCGGATACCGCAAGAAGGGGTACCCTAAGCAAGAACCAAAAATATTGCTTAAACCTTGCAAAAATCAAAGCCGAAAGACTACCGCAAGGTCTCAGCAGATTCTCCGATTCGCCCGAGGCCTTGCGCCGAGGCCTCATGCGAAAGGCCAAAAGCTCCCCGCCCCGCCGAGGCCCCGCCCCGAAAGGCCTCGGACGGGATACCAATTCTCCGATTCGCTCGAGACTAGGCTCGGCAAACAACCTCGTTACCCCCGTCCCGACCGAACTCCTCTGACAAAACGTCACGTCCGGATTAATGCGCCCAACTACTACCGCAAACGTCAGCCGCACGCGGGTACAGTGCGGGCAGAACGACCGACGGGATAGGGGACCGGGCGCAGCAGGGGTTACCTGTCACTGTGCTCATCACTGTGCTCCCTACTGACACCCGTACTGCCTTGTGCTACCTAACCCATGCGCCAAGGACAAAGCGGCGTGGAAGGTCAAGTCCAGGTCCCTGTAGTCTCAGCAACAGCAGGAGAGCCCAGCTGCTCGTTCTCCGCCTCGTCCGAGACCCCCCGGCAGGGCCTCGGACGTACTGTTCCTTCTCCACCTCGGCCGAGGCCGGGCTCGTCCCGCATCCTCGTCATCTCCGCCTCAACTGCCCCTCTGGCGGGCCGTCCCATCCGTGTAATTACCCCTGGTTACACCTACGTCAGCCACGATTGGCATGGTATAGCGATAGGGGCGATGTGACGACAGTCAAGTCTCCTTTTTTACCATTCCCTACTGATGGTGCAGGGACTACTGTGCCCTATGGACCCCTGCTCCGCACTTTTTTACCCAAACCGAGTACAACACGGACCACCGAGACCCCCGCGTCGTACACAGGTCACCTCCGAGGCCTCGGCACGATCAGCTACAGCACCCGCTAGGCCTCGGCACTCCACCAGGTCAAGAGTCCACCAAAGCACGGCATGTCTCCGGCCGTGGAAGTCATACTGACTAGACGTCGACAAGGACTCCCACGACCTCAACCATTTCAAGCCTGGCCAGCACGGTGCGCCAGACAAGTACTGATCTCCATTCCCAACGCCATGTTGCTACAGGACTAAACTGCAGTAGGCTCCACGTGTAGCTCACTCATGTACTCCTGGCTCCTTCCTTGCGATTATAAAAAGAAGCGGCCAGGGATAGCTCAGGAGAGGAGAAGAACATACGATAGAACCGCGCTCCCATATTCGCCCTAGACACATCCTGTAACACCCACTTTCCCAAGCTGCTTGAGAGCAGCGTCTCAAGCACCTCGCACCATCCCACGCCGAGACCTGGGACTAGCTCCCTCTCTCACCCAGCTTGTAACCCCCTACTACAAGCACTTTGGTGCAAGGAATACAAGACCGATCTCTCAGACTGGACGTAGGGCACCAATTGCCTGAACCAGTATAAACCTTGTGTCTCTTTACATCACCATCCAGGATTAGAGGCACGCAGTTCACTTTTACTGGTTGGTTGAGGACCCCTCGGTCCGAAACACCGACAGTTGGCGCGCCAGGTAGGGGCCTCTGCGTGTTATCGTGATCGTCCCAACAAGTTCCAGATGGCTGACCCCATACGCCCACTACGTCTCGGCACGGTGGTCTGGTTGGGGAGCCTAGAATTCATGTCTCTAGGATGTGAGTACGATATGGTACTCCTCACACCCAGAGCCCCACCGGCCGGCGACGACGTCACGCATCGGCAGCCCGGGCGTAGGCGGTGCCCGGGCCGCCGCTCTCGTCACGCTCGCCAGGCACGACGCGAGTGGGACTACTCCAACGCCACGCGAGCTCAGAGCTGCGCGCCGCACTCCGCCGACATCCCATGCCCAGTTGTTGGTACAGAGTCCCTGGCTAGGGACCTGTCTAGCCTAAGCCTGGGCAGGGGAAAGACGCCGGTAGCACGCAGCGACGTCCCGTCGTCAAGCTCGGCCCCGCCACATCCTGAGGAATCAACTCAGGCGGAGCGGAGCCCAGCGGTGGCACCATCCCCGTACCCCTTCGGGCTGAAAAACATCACCGCCGCCTACGCTTTCGCTTACGCCTCCACGGACGTGGAACCCTCGGAACACCACCAACGATTCGCCCTCGACTTCTCCACCACAATCTCGACCCACACCCACACTGACTCCTCGGAGGAAGACGAGGCATGGGCCGGAGCAGACTTCTCCGGGCTTCGTGACCCCTAGGCTATGCGCCGCTTCTTGGCCGCGAGCGAGTACTGCTTTGGCTACTCCGACTCCGATGACGAAAGCACTTACGATCCCACTCGAGAGTGTTTCCACGTCGGGCTCGGAATGCTAGGGGCAAGTAATGAGGGTGAGAGGGCAGGCAACTGCTCCCCGCTCGTCGAACTCCGGGCGGCGCGGAACGTGAGCGTCGCCCCCGAGGAATGCCGACTCCAGGACCTGGAGCAGCTCCGTGAGCTCCAGGCAAAAGTCGACCAAGATCGACTCCTGCTGCAGCAGCTCCGAGACACTCTCGAGCAGGAGCAGCAAGGTCGCGGTAATGGCGGAGGGGCCCGACAGAGGGCCCACGACGTGCACCGCCGCATTAACAATGACGAAGGAAGTGAGCAACCCCCAATCTTCAATCGCGCTAGCCAGAACGTCGCGGCGGCGACGATGCTAGTCCGAGCGATGCTCGAACCCTCTACCACGGAGGGGCGACGGGTCCGCGGCACGCTCCAAGACCTTCTCGAAACCGCCGCAATACAGCAGGCTGAAAGCTCTGCGTCTCGGCGGCGTGAAAACTCCTCGAAGCGGCCTTCAGTGCACGATCGCCTCAAGGCCCCCTCAGTCCACGACCGCCTCAGCGACCGACGCGAGGCACAAGAGGACCACGATGTGGTCAGCAGGCGACGGTGCCACGACAACGACGGGCTCACCTGAGGCTACCAGCCACACCTAGGTGGCCGCTACGACAGTGGGGAGGACCGCAGTCCTTCCCCTGGGCCGCCTGGCCCTAGGGTCTTCAGCAAGGCCATCCGCGGTGCTCCATTCCCGCCGGTTCCAAAGAACCGCCAATCTCGCAAATCTGATGGCGAGACCAACCCCGAGCTGTGGCTGGCTGATTATCGCTGGCTTGTCGACTAGGTGGCGCGAACGATGACTGCTCATCATCCGTAACGCCCCTTGTTCTGTCGGACTTCGGGCGCGAGCCTAGCTCGAACACCGCCTCCCTCATAGATTCTGGCCGGCGCGACTTGGTCAAGGTCTTCGTCAGAAATTTCGTGGCACGTCGTGCGCCCGGAACTCCCTGGGACCTCAAGAGTTGTCGCATGAGAAGCCGGATGAGTCTCTCCGAGACTTCATCCGCGTTTTTTCAAGCGGTGCACCGAGTTGCCCAGCGTCGGCGACTCGGAAGTTGTCCGAGCTTTTCTCAAAGCACCTCCCGCCGAGACTGGTCCGAGAGTTAGGCGGAACGTACCAACCTCTCGGCGGCCACGCTCCTCGACATCGCCACCAACTTCGCCTCGGGAAGAAGAAGCTGTCGGGCCATCTTCTCGACAATGAAGCAAAGGGAAGCGGGAGGACAAGGCCTCGGGGCCTCGGCCTCCCGCTTCGACAAGAAAAAAAAAAAAAAAAAGGGCGGGAGAAGCAAAAGAGGCCCTCGAGGCCGATTTTGTCATGACCTCGGATCGCGAGGAATCCCCGAGGCCCCGCCAGAGGCCCGGACTATTGACGATATGCTCAAGAAGCCATGCCCTTACCACCAAGGCCCGGTAAAGCACACCCTCGAAGAATGCACCATGCTCCGATGCTACTACGCCAAGCTCAGACTTCCCGACGACGATGCTAGGAAGAAGGGCGCCGGCGACAGAGACAACAACAAGGACGACAGGTTCCCTGAGGTGCACAACGCCTTCATGGTCTTTGGCGGGCCTTCAGCGTGCCTCACGACGCGTCAACGAAAGAGGGAACGCCGGGAGGTCTTCTCGGTTGAGGTAGCTACTATCCAGTACCTTAACTGGTCTCGGGAGGCAATCA